TAGCACCAGCGTGTATAAGGCACTAGCTGTTGTCTGTTATTTGAAACGTTAAAATGTGTAGTCTATTTCAAGGACTAAAACATAACCAGCATATTTATTATAACACCATAAAGACGTCTTCTTGTTTTATAATAAGTTTTTACTGCGCTCTGTGATGGAATGTTAACAGCAGAAAAAATACCTATTAAACTTTAAAGAATGTTTGACTAAAATAATATAATTAAAACAACGAGAGATACTCTTACTAACAATCATTTATTATACTTTACAAAAGTTACAAAACTGTAAATTTACCGGTAAATTTCGTTCGTAAAAAAAGTAGGTATCAAAGTCCGTAAGAGTAGCAGTTGTTGTCAATTCAAAGGATTAGGTAACCAAAAGTCCACCAAACAAAATCCAAGTCGTCAATTAAACCAACAAATTAACACGAGTGCGCTCAGTATGAAGCCGAAACAACGTGTGAGATAGATAGATCACCAACGCGCTCGCCCCTCTACTACCTGCTTCCCTGCCCCTCTACCCGCTCACGTATTTTCGGGTTACCTGTCGCTAAGAGCGGAGGATCACACAAAAACAGACAGGATTTTTGTTTAATTTCATTTTATTTCATTTGATAGTACGTCCCTAAGGATATTAAGAACGTTATTACTGCAATATGAACATAAACAAAGTTAGATTAGCTCTAACTTGTAGTAATAGTTCTTAAATAGTACGTACTATATGATATGTACATAATCTACACATTACTTATTTGTTACATGTGTTAAATATGAAAAAACCCGAATATTTTCCCATTCGGGAATTTTCCCCGGGTTTTTTCCCGGTTTTTTCCCATATTCGGGTTTTTTCCGGGTAAAATCCCATCTCTACCTGATACCCTTTGTAATAAAGAAGTCTAGGAAATCAGGTGTTTTTTGCTATCCGTGGGCCAATACATTAGTTCAGCAGTTGACATAGGACATAGGACAGTATGTATAGGTACACTCTTTGATTAAATACTTGAGTATTTCATCTCTAATTCGTAGGTAGGATATCGATCTGGTCAAGGGCAAAAAACGTGGATTTATAATTCAAATATTAATTAAACTCCTAAAATGACAAAGTTGTTAAGTTTTAGGTTGATAAGAGGAAGAAAAAAGCAATAGGTAACATTGACTTCTTTATTAATAGGCATAAATTAAGTAACGTAGCATAAATAAGGTCTAAGTAAGTTTAAAATCCAATATAAATAGACAAATGTTTAAAATTAAATTCGTTAAATATTTTAAAAGGACAATATTTAGCGATCGACATCTCCAAAAACAATATCTACTGATGCAATAAGCATTGTAATGTCAGCAAGCATTAAACGCGGACCAATAACAGATAGACCAAGAATGTGATTCATTGAACATGGACGCAAATGCACACGATATGGGATGGACGAGCCGTCAGATACCATGTAAAGTCCTAACTCACCCTTAGGACATTCCACCGCAGTGTACGTAGCTCCAGGTGGCACTGGGTAACCCTCAGAACACAACTTAAAGTGATGAATTAAAGATTCCATTGACATTTTCATTTCTTTTCTTGACGGCATGCATACTTTGGAATCGTCCGTTTTATATTCGCCCTCAGGCATTGTATCAAGAACTTGATTTACAATTCGTAGAGATTGGCGCATTTCTTCGTATCGAAGTAGATAACGATCATATATATCACCGAATGTGCCAACAACGCCATCGAAGTCGTACAGGTCGTAGCCATCATATGGGTGGTTAATTCTCAAATCAAACTTAACTCCGCTCCCTCTAAGCATCGGTCCCGTAAAACCCAATGACATAGCATCATATGCATCTACAATACCCAGGCCTGCAGTCCTGGCATAAAATAATCGATTTGTTGTTGCCAAGTCTTCAGTTTCGTCGAAACGAATTCCCAGCTTACTACATAGTTCGTAAATGTCATCAAGATAACCAATAGGAATGTCTTGTGATACACCACCAGGACGGAAATAACAGCAATGTACTCTGGCTCCACAAACTCGTTCAAAGATTTCATACAATTTTTCTCTTTCTTCACACATCCAAAAGAAAGGTGTTATACCGCCTGCATCGAGTATTGTGCCTGACACGTTTAAGATATGATTAGAAATGCGAGACAATTCGGTGCATAAAATTCGGATAGCTTTAGCCCTTGGTGGGACTTCTATATTAAGAAGTTTTTCAACTGCAATACAGAAGCCTTGTTCGTTCGCTAACGTAGACACATAATCGAGTCGGTCCATAAAAGGTAGGCTCTGATTATAATGTTTGTGTTCCATTAATTTTTCGGTGGCCCTATGCAGAAATCCTATATGAGGATCGGCTCTGACTACAGTCTCACCATCGAGTTCCAGAATCAAACGCAAAACACCATGAGCAGCTGGATGTTGAGGTCCAAAATTGATGACCATGTTCTGAAGTTTGCGTTCAACAGGCCATAATTTGGAATGATATATCATTCTGTAGTATTTATTGGATTCTGGCGTGGGGTACATTGTCGAGCCTTGAAATTGCTTCAGATATGTTGGATCGGGGTACCATCTGTGTGAGGCATAGAGTCTGTACTGAAACTGTCTCACTATATTTTGATTTACGATGCGTCGCTTTAAATTACTAAGCATCTTCGCTTGATCTTCGCTTATGAGACTTCACTATATGTTTTCGAGATATTTTGACAATACTTTAAGCAATAAAAGATTGACATTTCAATGCTTTTGCTTGTCATTTTTATAAGTCGCCAGTATGCGGATTAGGTCAATTACTTAATTGAATTCCAAAATGGAATAATAATTAGCTACTCTGTTGGACCCATGGACTACACTACACAACCTATAGACCAAAGACTACAATACTATATCTGAGATAGACCTTGCTAGGCAAGTAGGTACAATCGCCAAAGTGAGTGCCTGAACTAGTTTAAAAAATTCTTAATATATATAACATCAATAAAACATTAGTATTTTTGACACAAAGACTTACAACCTGTTGTTTTCCTGGTCAAAATGTATAATTATAGTGAATCATCAGTCAACGGACGGAAAATCTGCGCAAGTTTAGGTAGGTAGGTATACAAAAACCCTTTTTTAATTTTTTATGTTCTTGGTTTATTTTCCGTTGATAATACCACAATTCCCTACGAAACGTCGTTCGAGGGAAAAAGGTGCTGATGTCGTAGTGATGTCCATGAGTGGTGCTGGTTGCCTACCATTAAGTGGCCAAATACACCTTTGATTGGCCGGCTAGAAGGAACCAACCAATCAGAGCGGCGAACGCTTACTCGTTTCGATTACTTTAAACATAAAACAAACTCGTACTAAGGCCTCAGTTCTATGGCCTCAGTTTGATTTAAAACGTGTTGGGTGTTGAATGAATGAACGAAATAATGAATAGGGTGAAAACAAAACTCACATATTTATTCTTCAATGTATAATTTTAAATTAAATCGTGTTTGTAGTAGTTACTTAGATAATATACACATTTACATAATAAATAGACATTGACATGTACAATATTATATGTGTAATGCATGTCTGCATTTTATTACATTTAGTCGTTTTACTTAATTTCATACTGAATCGGTTACACTTCTTGATATTCATACTTTTAAGACACTGACAGTCACCTTCGTTAAACTTATCAAGTTAATCTACAGGGTGTTAACGGAACGCTGCCGACAGGTGATGGTAAAAACAAGTTTTATTTTTATAAAATTATGGAATTATATGTTTCTTTTATGTACTAATAGTTGTAATCAACTGTAATCAAGGCTGATATTGCATGAATAACACGAAAATAATAACGTTTTTATAATAACTATCGTGAGCCATACTAAATTAATTAAAAACTGCGGGTTACTCACGTGAATATACTGAGAAAAGCTCCATTAAATTTCGACCCACAGAGGGTTCTTCCTCATGAGCAGCGTGCGCGGTCGGGCGACGTCGCGCAGCTCACTGACACAGACAGTGGTTGAGAACCCCTCAGTGGTTCGACTAGTAGAACTTTCTCAGTATATTCACGTGAGTAACCAGCAGATTTTAACTAAAATAAAAACGATTAAAATCGTAAAAACAATATCCTTTTGTTAGCGTTTAGGGAGCGTTCCGTTTACCGTTCCTGTATAATATGCCACCGGAAAATAACAAAGATAAATAACTAGGAAATTTCTCTCCGGTGACGTACATAAACAACACCAGTACCTATATCAATAAATACGTCATATAAAAAAATACAAACTGTATAATTAAATAAATAAATTGTTACTGCCTACAAAAGTTTGAAAAGGTACACTTATATCAAAACAGTTGTAAAAAAACGTAGCAAAATTAACAATTTTAGCCTTTAGGCCCTTAGCTTTAGGTTTAATAAAACAGTGCTTTGTAGGAATGTCAGTACTTTATCTTTATGGGCCCTACTTCCATTAGGACGCTATGGTCGGAGGACCAGACACACCACTCTAATATCTCAGCAGAACAAACAATAGGATTGACGTCAACCAGTTGATTGTGCAACTAAGTTGACCTCAACTGGGGATTGTTGGTTTCGAATTAGTTAGACAAATAGCATTCAAACGCTAGTCAAACAACCGAATACATATAATTTTTTATTTTTATATTTATATAGAATAGAAAATTACCTACGTATAAGGGATTACCCATGACATTCGACAAATTATATCAAAATTTATGCCAAATAGCGTTTAAAATCCATTTATCTAGTTAGGGCCAACCTAATCGATCCACCATAGTGTCTTAACGAAATAGACCTCTTAAATTATATAAATAGGCCCTTAATATCTACGAGTTTAAATAGAGTAGTTAGATGTTCAGAGAGCAACGACGACATACCGTTACAAATAATACCTATATTTAAAATAGTTTAGTACAGGAGTAACATTGTTTTTATAAAGATACAAAAAGCTTTATTTATGATAGCCAGGTATTTAGTTTCTAATTCGGTGTACTAAGGGTGGGAGTGCCTTTTTGTCGTTTTGTTGTCACCACAAAAAACGTTGTATTTGAAAATAATATATAAAAATTACCTACCTACACAATAGAGTAAAATTAAGATTCACGCGAAGAGCATATTTAATGGCAACCGTTTATGAATACTGAGTTGGTTTTATATTCATAATAATGAATGTGTATTCCGATATTTCTTTCTTACCCTTTCCATTTGTTACCAAGTAATCTATTATCAGTATAAACGTAACGAGTATTCATTTTACTGACAACAGCAGCAAACAAGCGCTAAGCAACAGCAGGTAAGTATACAAAGATTTAATAAATATTTTTGTATAACAAACCCATTTATGATACGCTCGCAAACGTATACAAAATTTATCACAGTACCTAACACGTAAACAAGAACTATTTCGAAACAATGCTGCAACACATTAGGTACCTATACGATTGGTCCTTTACATTTTAATATCTAAACATGATTTATTTATTTGATACATCCGTCAAAAATGTAACGCAACATTATGACATTTCGATCTAAATCCAAATTGGTACTTTCAAGTGTTTCAATTCGACATCTTTTCATTGGATTCTACGTAAATACATGAGCAAAGTTTCTGTAGGAACCTTAGGAAACAACCGGAGAGACAGTTGTACATGTCAGGCTTACTCTTCCACTTGACACAGAGGTAGTAAACAGGGATCCCGGAGAGGAGGATGGCGATACCAATGGCTGTGTCTTTGGGCCTGGTGATAGCTGGGATGAAGACTAGGCAGCCAATGGCGATCAGGAACACATACGGAATGATGATATTAACTTTGATTGGCCGAGGTATGTCTGGCTTGGTGCGACGCAGCCACAGCATTCCGACGACCGAAGCACCCACGGACAACCACAACGTTTGCGAGAAGTAGTTGATGAGATCAAACACGTTGCTCGTCGTCAACATCAGGAGAGAGAAGAAACACTGAAAATAGATAAGTACAAAAGTTTATTAGCCATTTTGTCTATGAAATATCAAATGATCTATCTCTAGAAAAATAAAAACTGCGTTTAAAAACCGACTTCAAAAAACCAAAAACGAATAACAAACAATAAGTCAAAACTAAAAAGCAATAAATAACTATTATTAGTACTTATAGGTTACCTACCCACTGATATGTTAGAAGTCGGCGCCATAAGTTCTGTACAAAACTATTCATTAAAACCTTAATAGATACCTAATTTACAATTTTGTGGCCATTATAATATGAGCTTATGGCACCGACTTCTATCCCTTCATCAGATCCTGACCTCATGGAAATGGGACCATCTCGGGAGTTTACCCTTTCAAACAAAACAAGAATTTTGGAAATCGGTTCACAAATGGCGGAGAAATGCGCGAACAAACAAAAAAAACAATCAGCCGAACATAGTACGTTTTTCTTTTTTTGAAGTCGGTAAAAAGACATTTCGTATTATTTAGGCTTTTCTGTCATATGAAAATGTTAATTTACTTACAGTGAACATAAGGGAAGGTATAGGCGTCTGCTTTTCAATGTGGAAAAGTGAGAAGAAAGCAGGCATGTGTCCCTCTTGTGCACCGGTCGCAAACAGTCTTGCTGATGTGAACAAAACACCGTTGACTCCTCCGAATGTAGATAGCGCTACGAATACAGGGATCATCCAGCTCCAGCCAGCGAATAATCGGTCGCCAAACACCTGTCAATAAAAAAAGTAAGTACTTTTAAAATAATTTATTTTTAAAAAGCCTTAAATTAAAGTTCTGGACACACTGAGTGAAATCATTCAGTGTGTATTATATACAATGCACCTACAATAAGAAAATAAGTGTAAAGTGGGTCAAGTAAGAAGTTAGTCGATTGTACCTGTGTACAGCGAACTTTTGTTGAAGGTGTTGTTTTATTGCACATAATATCAGGCATACCATAAATAGCGATGATTGTACAATGTTGTTACGTTACTATATATGTAAGTAAATGTATATAAATAGAAGGATCCAATCCTACTAAATATTCTAAGAAGTTTTGCCGTCATCAAATTCCAAAGATTGATTCGTTTATACCTGCTATTCAGTTGTTTTTTTATCTAAAACCGTACGTATAAAATAAGTAATGTAAGTACATAAATAGACATTATAACTTTTGAAATAATAACTTTTGAAATATATTATTTCAAAAGTTATTATGACGCCGCGCCGCGGCTCGCGGAATGTTGGTCACGAATATGAGCCTCCACCATGGCTTGAAACTAGTCGAGTTCCTCGTCAAATAATTACGTGGTAAGCCGAAAAAGATAATTATTACTTTAGTATGACTCACGAAAGTTAAAATATAAATACATATGTATTTCAAAAGTTATATTGATATCTCCAACACTATGCTTAAGGAGGTGAAACCGCGATATAGAGCAATAGTTGTTGTACACAAAACGTAATAAATAATTATAAATACCTCCGTTGTTATAAATAAAGACAAGCACATAGATATGAATATTATGACCATACATAAATCAATCAATCATTTATTACCGCTGAATGTTAGCAAAATAACAATTCTGAGAGATATGCCGTGAGTAGTGAATGGAAATGAATGGACATTACTTGTCGTGTTGGCTATTTCTGGAGAGATTATGGACTACAATTAAATATGAGCAACTTTCAACATTAGTAACTCGTTTGTATTTTATATATATAATGATATTAGACATTAGAAGACAAATAATGGACTGGTGTCCGGTATACGGCAATAGGCTAACCCCGTCTTACATGGGACTCACAACACACAACTCACAATCACAAATAGTGAAAAGTGGGTGTTACATTGTACAGTGGCATTAAGTGCACGTTATGGCACTCTTCCTACCCCTTCGGATGTAAAAGGCGTTATGTTATGTTATGAGACAAAACATTAGATGTTTCTTTAATGTTAGATTGTTTAGACTAAGACCAAAAATAAATTAAAAATTGTGAAAAAGTCCACCGAGTACTTGACTCAACCACATTATGAGATCTCGAAATATTTTTTGTCAATAACTATTCCTTATTATGCCGACAGGGTCTTTAATTGTTACCTACTATTGTTTTGTCTAACCACCTGTATGTGTACATTATGGATGCAATACATACTTGATTACTTACTTGATTATTAACTCTTTTATTGGATTAGTACATTTTGGTACCTAACAAAGTAAAAATTGACATTCAGACACCTATACGAAAATGAGACATGAGTATTACCATCGATTAAAATTGATACCATGTGTACCTAGGATTATAAAAATACCCACAGTTTAACGGTCACTGTCACTGTGGTTACATCATTTAAAAATTTTTACTTAACAGCTTTCCTGATCTACAGTTAATGAACTACCAAGTAGTACCACTGAATAAACGTCCTTATTTTATTAGCGATAGAGTTTACGTAATAATTTTAATGTTTTTATTACTCGATGTTCTTTATGACCGGATAGAAACTTCTTCCTGGAATTTACTCGTAAAAATATAATTCGTGATGATCTTACCAATGAATCACAGTTCAGATTGTTATTATAGGTAGTTGTAGACTTTTATTTAATTTTTAGCCTTTTTACCATTATTACAGAAGATTTTAGTACGAAACTGAAAGGCTCTTAGCTTGTTACCTACGACTAGAGTGAGATATTTTCTTATGAAAACATCATCGGTGGTCTCAACCCCACTATCAGCTTCTTTAAGGATGTGCGCTGCGCTGCGTGATGTTTAATGTAATATCAAAGATCAGCGTGCGACGGGCGACCCGCTGTATACAGCGCTGATCTATAGAATTACATGAAACAACATGCCACGCGGTCGCCCGCACCGAGGTCGGCCACGATGAGGTTTTAATAAGAAAATATCTCACTCTCCCCCTAACAAGCTAAGAGCCTTTTGAAGGCATCGGTTAGTCCTAGGCTATTTTGATGAATACATTAAATTAATGAGTATTAAATCTTACCGCAGCTACTGCAGAGTTCACAATCATCTCAGGTTTGGTGACGACGGCAAAGTAGGCCAAGTTTGCCATCACGTAGATAATAGTCACCATCGGCATGGCGATCCATATCGCTCGGGGCAAATTCCTGAAACAGGGTGGAATGCACTTAAGTATAGACCATAAAAACTTATTACTCTCTATGTAGAATATTTTACATTACATAGCCGTATTGTGCAGTTTATTGTCTTCCTTATTGCATGAGTAATAAGAAATTTTTTGAGTAAATAATTTATAAAAAATATAATTTTGAGATTACATAATATATTGCTATTACTAAAAGATAATTTTAAATAGGATAATGGACAAACTTTTGTGTCCGTCTAATACCTACTTCACTAGATTAACTTATAACCTCCTCCTTTTTGGGAAGTCGGTTAAAAACTGTAAAAGGACACATTAATATATAATATTTAGAGAGACAAAGAACTAAAAAATAAACGCATGAAATGAAGGCACCTATCTATTTCCTCTCAAGTAAATAAACCGAATTGTCTAGTTCACTACTCACAATGAACTGCGAAACGTCGTGATGAATAAAACATGCAATAGAAGAGAGAACACTCAACACTTGCCTCCATAATGAATACAATAGCATCCTTTTACCACCATTCCTTGGTATCTAACACCTAGTCCTTATTTTTCACGTAACATCGTTATTCTATTTTCCGGACCTACTTAAAATGTACCTACAGAAAGTGTATAGGTTATAAAACAAAATTATAATTGTAATCACTGTAATATTATGTTGAATTGTTGACGCAAATGTCACGTAATAGGTCATTAAAATATGAAAGTCTGCAAAAAATAAGCTTAAGGTGGGTCAGGCTTCTAATTGGTCGACTGTACCTACTTACATATTTTTTTTTTATCTACTTATAAAGGACACAATATGGACATGTACATTTTATATTATAAGAACAGAATACCGACTAAATAAAAAAAACTAATATGACTGTGTACAAATACCCAGCAACTTTCTCTCTTTTTAAATTCCACCCCATCGATGCTTATCAATCACATATTCCAAATCATATTACACCATTATTTTTAAAATCCCAATCTGAAGTTACCACTGCAGAAAAAACGCTTCATTGATCAGCTTATCTGAAGCACACAGTCAAGCTTTAATCACAACTTCAAATAAAAGAATAGGGGAGAGTTTGCCGAACACTCCGTCAGACTACTTGAAAAGCATTAAAGAATCCAAGTATCTATTTAGTTTGCGACTTAGTAATTCTAGCCATTCTAGGCTAATAAAATATCAAATAGTCGATCTTGGCACCAATACTTTTATGTGCACTACTTTGAATGACACAATTTGTTCATGCGTTATATAAACTTTAGAATGCCACCTAATAGAACCTACTTAACTAATAGTAAATAGATTACTTCAACTGTTCCTTAGATTTCGGACATGGATTAAGTTAACCAGTAGATGACTGGAATACGGCAATTAATGCTTATATTCTACTAGCTGAAACCGCAACTCTGTCTAGGTTTAAAAAAAAAGTAGCTTATGCCTATAGAAGTCATGGAAAAATCGGTCAAGCCATTTCAGAGATTAGCCAGTACAAACAGAAAGACCAACAAAAATTTTAAAAAGTATTTTTTGAGTACATACAAAATACATACGATACATATACGATGTATGCAAGTAGTAAAAAACTATTATTTTAATTTTACAAACATACACTATAATTTAATTTATCTGTCTAGATTAAGCTGTGTGTAGACGTTAGAGTATTCGTCATTTCGTCACCACTTCTATTCTTCAGAAGAATCGACTAGAGTCCTAAAGAATTGCACATTTGACTGATAAACCTACGCGATCTACCAAATCGCTCAAATCCCAATACAAAATGTTGTTGAAGCATTATATATAATATAAATGTGACTACTCGGTAGATACTGGACAAATAGTAGTACGTAAGTATCGGTAAAGATGCACGTGTTTCTTGCACAATGATGCCATTTTCATACTGAGAATAAGGAAAGTCCTTTCTCATCTTGTTATAACGTAAAAGTTATTGCGAAAGTCGACAGAAATAGATACTTTTGCAAGAAAAGTTTTATCTTCTCTAACATTTATTTTTCCTTTGTCCGTTGATTTAATGACGATGCAGTGGTTGAGTAACCGACAAATGTGAAATATGTTACAAGTTCGGTTCTCGATCGCAAAAGCTATTTGTCGGATCCAGATTTATTGTCTTTGGTATTAACTCGTTGAGTACGGCCATTATAGACACAATTAAAGATCAATAGGTTGCGGTCACCGGTGACCGCTCGGTGTATGACAGTTTAATAAGTAATTTAATATAACACAACAAGAAACCATAATAATATATAAACTAGATAATTTAAATGGTTTTTCCAGATATTGTTTTCGGTACCTCATGCTGGCAAGCTATTGACGCCGCTCATGGATACCTGGTCTTCGAAATGTATTGCTAATTTAACAAGAAGAACTCACTTGTACGGATCTTGTAGTTCTTCAGTGACGAAGTTGAGGTAGTTCCAGCCTCCGAACGCGAACAGTCCAGAGTAGAAGGCAAGGGCTATATTCCCGGCACTGTATTCCCCTTCAAAAGCTCCTTCGAAGTTTTCCGTATGACCTGAGAAAATGACATAGAGAAATAAATAAAAATATTAATATGCATGGGTAGGTTCCATAAAGTCTTGTGTGGATGAAACATGAATAGAGAAAAGTAGAGGCATATAGCTATAGCCGTAACCAAATACGAGACGAACCACTACAACTCCGTTAGGACTATATGACTGACAAGAAAAAAAACACGTATATAAACAATACATTTTCAATCATCTGTGTCAGAAGCAAACAGTACAACAAAACGATAATGACCCGAAATCGAACATGTGTCACAGAATGTAGTGACCGTAGCAGTACTAACAATACTGTAGCGTTTTTATTATTTTTAATTCGTGAAAATACTTTTAATGGCGTCATATGGAAATCTTAACACTGAAGGCCTGACTTAAAGTTAAAGCAGATTAAAGACCACTGTCATACAATCTATAAGATTGATTAAATATAGGTAAGTAAAGATGGATTATCTATATAAAAATGGAAACAGATTTAAATGATTAGATTATTGAGACTGGCTGTCGAAGTGCTAGACAATAAACGAAGATAAAATTAATTAATTAATATATAATAATAACATCTACACGTAGTGTAGCCTTTACGAACTGTCAACAATAATGAGTAATATAATATAGAGGTAGGTAAATATACTTCCATATAGTATTTCATCTCCGTACTACTTATCTATAAATTATACAAGCACCTTGTTGATATACCGGATGGTCATTTTTCATGTGGTTAACACATTTATGTGCCTTAACATAAGGCTCAAAATACGCATTGGATTCCATATTCCATAATTTATCCCACTAAAGACTGACGTATGATTAATTTATTGCGTTCATACATAATAATTGAAGCCAGCTTATTTGATGCATAAATCATAATAATGGAAGAATGGCTTCATTGATAGCTTTGTTGTCAGCAAAATAGCAGACTTCGTCGTGATAAATATGTAGTGTATGTACCTATCTATGTACCCCTTTATGTTTATTCATATGACTTACGTTAATGGACATTAAATATCTACGTAGCTACCATTTTCCATGACATCTACAATAAATGATTAAGTAGGAACTACATATATTAGAAATACATATGTAAAACACTTGCTTGTACCTACATGTTTTTTTTAAATTGTCTGATTGTCTTGGAGTTGGATTTGTACTTACATTTTTTTATTGCAACAGGCATGAATATTACTTGAAAATGATGTCAGGCATTTTTAATTTTATTGTTGGACATACATTGACGAAATCCTTTTATTAGTGACTTTTTTTAAGGGGGAATTTCATCGAATAACTTCTCTCGCCTGGATGAGGCGGAAGGGAGTGTCACTCTTACTGACTAAAAACCACCCCGTTCCTTCTCCTGCACTTCGAGCCGGAGCCCCGGTAACCCGTTAGGTTCTCCGCGACCTTAGCAGTGACTAAGGGCCGATTTTTCAATCATTCATTTTCATTCAGTTAATTTTTTACTAGTTTTTATTGAATAAAATTGACATTTGACAGTTTTCAGTATCTATTGAAGAATTCTCAAATGTTCAAAATCATTCCTCAGTTATTTGTCTGGTGTTGGAAAAATCGGCCCATAATAGATGAAAGGTTCATTCATCTGACGGATGAGTTTGATGCGCCAAAAACGACACCAGCGTCTCTAACGGTGCAAAAAGTAATGTTTTTGTCACTATCAATGTTTATGGATTGAATTAATGAACTTTATACATGTGGATATCATCACGTAAAATGTTATTTCTAAGAATTTGTTATGTAACTAATTACATATTTTGTTTAATTTTAATCAAGCTAATTTTAGTTGTAATACAATTTTTTACCGAATTCGATTTCTGAGGTTAAGGTTCAACTAATGGGGTTATCATGTCATCTAATCTTTACCAAAATAAGTGGTAACTTAATTTTTAATTGGTGTAGAATAAACTACTACCCTGTAAATGATATCTGGGTATTGTTTCACTAGTAATGCTTAATTAACTAAAAATAGCTGGTTATTCACGTAAATACTTATACTGAGAAAAGCTCGATTAGTTTCGAGCCACAAAGGGGCTCTTCCTCATGAGTAGCGTGTGCGGTCGCAGCTTACTGATCGCCGCGACCGCGACCGATGATAGTTATTATAAAAACATAGTAATGCTTCATATTATCCATTATGGAACGTTTTCAGATACAGCTGTAATCTGCGTAGGTGAACTATGTGTCACGAATTCACGATCATGTTAGTCTCCTGTAATACGTGGAGGGATAGCTTATTTTGACACAGATGTCTTTTTTTTTAATAACTACCTTATATCTACTCTCGACAGAACTATGCCCTTAACTCGTCGAGTACCGGTTTTGTAGACACAATTATAGAACAATAGGTTGCGGTCACCGGTGACCGCTTGGTGTTTGACAGTTTAATACTAATTCAGATATTTATTGCCCATCAACTTTCTACACTTCATTTCATATCAATTATGTAATATACCTTCCTAATAGATTATAAAGAGAATGTTTACAAAGAATACGTTGCTACTCAATAATGATCTACTGAGATACGATCAAAGTAACAAAGTACCTGCGGCCCTTCAAACTTTCTACACTTTCTATTTCATTTGATAATGAAGTAATCAAATAATAAATAGCTGTGGACAGGTGGACTCAGTCACTTTCTGATTATGTAATAACATTATGTGATGTCAATGGAACACCAGCATATAAGTAGATTCCATAATACAAGTCGATAATAGAAATTACTTAACACCCATCATTTGATTATACAAAGTGTTTGGTGCATCGTGTGTCAAACACCTTGTATTACTTTTTTATGGTATAAGTCAGTAAACGAGCAGATGGATCACTTGATGGTAGGCAAGAGGCATCGCCCATGGACACCTGGAACAGCAGAGGCGTTGTAACTACGTTACCGGCCTTTTGGGATTAGGAATTTGAGGATTGTTGATTGGATTCAGGGATTGGTATGAGTCCCATGTAATAGAGGGTGAACCTATTGCCATATACCGGGCACAATTTCAGACTGCGTGCTACTACTGAGTTTTATTTTAAAACCCAGTAATACTTGTCCGTTCCGGGAATCGAACAGAGCCCAGCCGAGTCGGACTTGCGACCACTCAGCCACCGAGGCGATCATATTATACATACATTCCAATACAGTACATGTCTTCTGCTCATGACTCATAGCGTTTCTGTAAACACTCTAATAAAATCTAATAAAGACGTTTGTGGCGATATAATTAATTAATCTAGTTGTGCCAAGCCCCCAGCCAGATGCTATTTACTGAATCTGTCTCGGTCTTCTTCCAGAACATTTCCTTCTGAGAATGAACAGACATGAGGCGGACAACCCACGTCAATAAAACTGTTATAAAATTACGATACGACACCCACAACACAAGAGGAGTCACCGGTGTGTTGCCGGACTTTTAAAAAGGAATACGCTCTTTTCTTGAAGGTTTGACTTTGAAGGTTGTATCGGTTCGGAAATACCGCCGACGACAGATCATTCCACAGTTTTGCTGTGCGAGGCAGAAAGCTACGTGTCGTCATAACCATGGAAATCACCGTATCCAGTACCATCTCTACCACAAGGGCACTCGGGGCCCCCATCCTCAGGGATGACCTGACGATGCCTGATCATCTGAATGCTTGACCATGCCCCGAAGGACCGACAATTTCAACGATGGACACACTTCGCACAGACACACGGACGGGTTCGATTCCAAAAGCAAACCTTTGTGTGATCCAGAAATTTCTGTTTCGCTGTCATGTGTTAGTGATTTTGTATGTTTGTAAATGCACCCGTATACAGGAGAAAATCCTAGTGTGGTGCAACGTTAAAAAGAAAATATTCTACAAGGGCACCGAATAGGGCAGATGACAAATTTTTATTTTAATGTCCGTCTGGTAGATTATTTTAAAATATTACACACGGTATTTTTTTAATTTTTTACATAAACGAATACTTTCAACGTGCTTTCAACGATATATTGATTTGAAATGTCGCGTGACGACACTTCTATGTACATTATATACGTGGAAATGACGTTTTAGCCCCCGCTCCTAAACTTTGATTCGTTATATCTAAGTATCATTTCATTATACATCAAAATAAAAAAATACGTGTCTAATATTTTTTCATTACCTAACTGACGGACTAATTAGAAATTTAATTTTCATACCCTGCCATCATCCCTTGTGTGCTCAAGGGCCCCAGCGTAGACTAACACGGCCCAGATCGTGTCTCTGCTAATCTCTTCACGTGATGACCCAATTAATTAAGAGGCATAATATCCAACTAAAACATGGTATGAATTCTCAGTAATCCATCCATGGGATCCATAATCAAACGTGATTGTGCAAATTTGTCGGCTCATTAATTTTATCACATAGCAACAAGCGTGCGATCGTCTGGCGACCTTGGGCTATCAATCATTGTAGCTGTAAGCTGACCCAGCAAGCTGTTATCTACGACTACATAGTATGTAGATTCCATGCGTCACTTGTAAACCTTATCAGTGATATAGATAACCGTCATTCGTCATTACCATATTAGAGAAATATGCAGTTCTTCTCGTACTTCCTGGTATAGTGTACACTGGATTTCATCTAGTTAAAATTAAATCTACTTTAATTCTTAAAACGTAGTTAACTATCTATCTAATTAATAACTTAGGTATTTGTGAGTAGGATAAAAAGGTAGGTCAAATGATTAGAAGCAAGCACGTGTAGATAAAAGCCTATATGAATTATCAATTTTTATTGAATGAAACTCATAAGTCATAACAGACGTAGGTACACTTTGAAAAATTATTTTCATTTCACACATAACATCACGCCTTTTAACCCCGGAGGGGTAGGCAGAGGTGCACATTACGGCACTTTATGCCACTATATAATATAACATTTCACTATGTATGTTATGAGTGCTATGTAATAGAATAGGGGGTGAGCCTATTGTCATATTATTATACCAGACACAATTCCAGACCTCCGTACTACTACAGAGATTTGTTTTAAACTGTCAAACACTAAGCGGTCACCGGTGACCACAACCTATTGTTCTATAATTGTGTCTATAATAACGGTACTCGACGAGAACGATCTTTTTAAAATACTTTGCCTGATCCGGGAATTGAACTCGAGATCCCTTGCCCAGCAGTTACACTTGCGACCACGCGGCCAACGCGATAGTGATATGATGCTTAACCTACACGGATCTTATCTTAATTCCTCGCACCGTCTATTGCAATAGGGGCTGATGGATTATTCAATGGAAAATGAATATCCTAGCGAATAATTTTCCTTGAGAAATGTGATAATTCATACCACACCTGACCACACATGCACACTATTTCAAATCATGAGGAATCGTTCCTATTCTCTCTCTCTTCAATCGTTCCCTCATGTCTGAGGATCGTGGTTAGCATCAGGTTTGCATCTGGAGCGGATGATCTGCTTCTAGTGTCCAGTGCGTCTTTTACAGCCGTACAAAATTTTGAGAACAAGTCTTTTATTTGATCGGTCCATCTTGTTAAACAACGCCCACGCGATCTCTTGCCTTCGGTGCTTCCAACAACAATCAGCTTCTCCAGGTTCTCGCCGCCCCTGCGGATTGTTTGTCCCTATTCTACATTATATATAAAACTGCCACCAGTGCCCAAGGAAGTAGCATTCTCTTAAACCATAAGCTGCAATCCTCGAACCGCCAGTCATGCTTGAAAAATATGGTACAACCTCTCTTCAGAGCCCTTTGTTCAGTAATGGACTGTATTCCGACTGACGAAGGTTATAATTATTTCAACTTACCAATGCAGATGTAGTAGATGCCAGAGATAATGATGACAACCAGCGCCAGTAACTTGGATGAGGTGAACACGTCCTGTATCCTCATCGTCCATCGCACGCTGATGCAGTTCACAGCCGTTAGGATACCTGAGGATAAATAAAGGGTGAGTCAGTATCGCAACCAGAACAATTAAAGGTACACAGTAGCACACTTAACCGGCATGGCTCCGGCACGACTCCAACCCAGTAATTAACTTGTCATTTAAATATGAACATTACATCTTATGTCATATGACATATTTCATAATGTCAATATAAAAAAGCTGTATCTTAGATACAGGTTTTTAGCGTAAACAAGCTGTATCTAAGATACGACTTGTTGCTTGCGTGCCGACCTACAGGGCGCTTACAACCTTTATGTAGTGTTTCCAAAGTAAATAACATCGGCTCGCTCGGAGCATATGGACCATCTATCTAATGTTAAGTGATGAGCAGCATAGACACCCGCAACAAGAAAGGATGAGGAGTTACAAAAATAGGCGGGCTTATCAAGACTTTTTGTTCGAAATGTATTATATTATTGCATACATATTCCAGTTAATTTCAGAAGAACAGTCATTTTATATATAACAAGCAATCTATGGGCTGTCACTTAATCAAAACCAATTGATTTGTACGGCTTGATCGTAAATTATATTGATTCAAATCAGCTTCTGTCTGCAGTGTGTCTTCCTCCAAAACTCCAAACAATAATACTTTCTTATATTTTGTTTTTAGATATAAATAACGTAAATAATCTTTATAAGTTAACATACCTATGTTGTTATCATGATAAGTACCTCTTATTAAATTCTACATACTTCATGATATTGGTTACTTGAGACGTTACCAAAGAACCAAATGATTCTGATCGAACAAAAGGAATATAGACCAAATATATAGTCATAAACACGGATAGTGATGGCGGAATTACAAATTCTAATATGTCCCCGTTGGTCAAGGTCAATTTACAAATAATAATACATGTGTTTAGCGTAAACAAGTATCTAGTCCGATTTCTCTCGGACCGTTTACGACTGCACTAAACATTAATTTAGTATATAAATACAGTAGCATTAATAATAGTATTGTGATGTAAAGTAATAATCTTAATTATAATACTTGTTACATGATTCATGTCTATGCATGTCATTTTGTTTTTTTTTAAGGGATACTAAGCCTGTAAACGAGCAGACGGACCACGAAATTGGGCCTCCAGTAAACTCACTCACGTGACGAAACACAATGCAAGCGTTGTCTTACATCAGTTTTCTGTGAGGCCGTAGTATCACTCCGGTCATGGATCACGGAAGCATGGCTCTTCCATACTTGTACGCTTATTCTTCATTTCCCTTTAAAATAGAGAGACAATGGAAGAATAAGACATGTTATTTGAGGGCTGCGGAGTGACATTAATGGACTTATCGCGAGAAATAAATATCTTACTCCTGTTAGTAATAAAATAATCTAAGATTTTGATAGTTTTTAATGCGAACAATACAAAATGGAGGTCAGGGTCAAATCACGTCACAAATTCACAACACACTATTCTATTTCGATCTTTCAGGATCGATCTTTGATCTAGAAAACCTAATGGAAATTAGATGTTTAAAGTGTAAAATTGTCAATAATAGCACTTTCAATTACACTCTACTAGGAACCAAATATGAGGCGATAACGTTCACTCGTACCTGATGGAGATATATTGTGACAACCAGGAACAGAACAGAAAGCCGATGACAACCTTCCAAAGAGATAACGCATCTCTTCATGAAATTAATTAACCGTCCTTATCATTCGTAACATTAAAATATAACACATGAATGATGGAATTGAGAGCTGCATTCACGTTAAATGACTACCTTATTGCAGTGGACACAAAGCCTGTTTCACATTGTCGAGGTTCAATGCACGTCTTATAGATAATTTCGTTGCAAAATAAATTGCCCCAAGTGATCCACTTTCAGTGAATCATTAGGTTCGTTTAAACACATCATTTGCTGCCAGACGGACACTGTACAGTTCCGGGTCTTATTTGTCTAGTTAATGGTCTAGTTTTTCTTTGAACATTATTTATCGACACATTTTTTTTATTTTCAAACTCGTCTACTAAGCGTAGAAATTCGTGCAAATCTCACCTATATAGAGGAGGACCGTAGTCCATCGGTGGACAATAACAGGTCGAACACAAACCTGTTGGCCCGAATAGGTATCTTCGTCGAACCCAAAACACAAGTCAACACAAACATTAATACAAAATTAAAAATAGTCATTGAAGTCAAAAATTCGTGATATCAAATCGTATTGCACTGATTAAGATCGATCTGATATTGCAACACGAAAGTTGAATTAGAAGTAAGTAGGTACGTCACACCTTTTGTCCCAAGGATTTTACCGAATAAGAAAAGGATGATTGTAAGTACACTCTACTTTAAATATATATATATAGAGTGGAATTCTGTAATGACACGTGAATGAAGGGGAAATAGTCTTAATACTTTAGGTAGAAAATTTTACTTAAAGAAAACATTTCTTTATATTTGAAAAGATAGATAACTGCATCTAAAGATTTTTAAAAATTTGCTTGTTACACACGGTAAACGAACCGACTAAAATCTGTAAAACTTACACTCTGTACTTTTATTACATCGATCAATAATATAGTATAATAATGTAATGTAAATATTGTATACAGCGAAGTTATTTAGTATGTAGATTAAAAATAAAGATGTATTCAGTACAGACACAGTATCCATTAGTTTGCTACCGAGTCTACCACTAGTTACGAAAGACAAGACTTCTAAAGCATACAATTTAGTATAACAATAGCTACTGTCTCTGTACAAAATCAATCTTTATGTATTTTCTTAAATAACTAACAGTAGTTAGTATATTATTCATTCGTTGTTCATTCATTCATTCATTATACTTCTTTTTTTATTTGTCAATGAAAAGTTTTTTATGTAAAGTTACTTTGTCGCCTTAGACTACGTCTTAATGATTAATGTAATATGTGTAAAATAAATAAATAAGTAACTTGGCTGTCAGTACGTAGGTTAATGACATCTAGACTGTTCATTTGCTATTTTATAATCATCATCATCAACAGCCTATAAATGCCCACTGCTGAGCAAAGCCTCTTCTCACACGGAGAGGGTTTGAGCATTAATCACCACGCTTGCTCAATGCGGGTT